GGGGGCCGAAATTGGACCCCTGGGGCTAGCTGGCCCATGAAAAAACCTCCCCCTGTTTCTGGCTGAACCAGGAGCCTCTTTCCTCAGTGCAGGTGGGGGAGAGCAGGGCCGAGGCAGAGAGCAAGCGTGCGGGTGGGGGTGGTGAGCCAAGCGCTTCTCGGTGTCAGGGGGCATGGCGGGGTGCCCGAAAGGCCTCGTCTGAGGCCTCCCCAGAAGGCCGGTGTCACCCGGGCTGTCGATAAAAACCTCCCCCTGTTTCTGGCTGAACCAGGAGCCTCTTTCCTCAGTGCAGGTGGGGGAGAGCAGGGCCGAGGCAGAGAGCAAGCGTGCGGGTGGGGGTGGTGAGCCAAGCGCTTCTCGGTGTCAGGGGGCATGGCGGGGTGCCCGAAAGGCCTCGTCTGAGGCCTCCCCAGAAGGCCGGTGTCACCCGGGCTGTCGATTGGCGCGAGGCCTAGGAACGGAGGAGCTGCCGGGAGCTCTGCACCCAGGCCAGAGAGTCTGGTCTCTCGGCCTTGCCGCTGGAGCAGGCGAGGCGAAGGTAGCGCGTGGGCTGCTTTCGGCAGGCGGGGGAGACGCGCCCCTCCTTGGTGGGCCGCTGCGTGCCGTGGGCGTGTGGTGGAGTGGGGGTGCAGATGCCCCCCCTCCCCGTCCGCCCGCCTGGGGCCTTGATCTTGTGACCAGGGGATTTGGTGGAAGGGGCTGAAAGGGAAGGAGAGGCAAAGGCTGAGGAGCTCTGCTGGGGGGCGGGGGAAGGGCTTGTGAGTCCAACTGAGGCTCCAAGCAGCATGTTGTGGCTTTGCTCCGTGTCCCCCTTTGTTCCTGCTCTCGGGACTCGCTGCCCTTGGCGTGGCTGCTCGCTGAGCGGACGCGGGCGCTTGCTGGCGCTATAAATAGCGCGGCGGGCGGGGTGCGAAGCGGAAGGGTGATCCTGAGTTCTCAGCTGGCGTGGCCGGCCCTTCGGGAGCGGGGACTCGGAGAGGGGTCGGAGCAGGGGGCCGGGCGCTCCGGAGGGCTCCCCCGGTTGGGTGCGACAGGCAGGGTGGTGGAGTCGGGGGGATGGGCCACACCAGGTGCCTCCCATGCCTGTGTCGCCCCAAGGGAATGGAGGGGGCAGCTAGTTGTGCCCCCTCCCACCTTGGGGAGCTCTCTGGCTGGCCCCGCCTGCTCCCATGGGCACCGTGTGGGAGTTTTGCACGAGGACACTTGTGCACCCCCTGCGTGCGCCCAGCATGCACCCAGCCACTCGGCGCTCCTGTGCGTTTGGGTGGCCCTCGGGGAGGTGCCCACTCTGTTCACGCATCCGCTTAGCGGGGGCCTTCCGCGTGCACAGGGGTGATGGGCCGTGCCCGCGGGCCCCCCCGTCCCAGGCGTGTCTGCAGAGACTCGTGTGCTTTGCAGGTGCGGCGTGGGCCTGTTGTGCGCGCAGCCCTTCCATGTGCAAAACGCTCACCCTGCACAGTTCCAGGCTGCCTTAAGACAGGCTGGAAAGGAAGAGCAAAGGAAGGCCGGGGGTGGAAGGAAGGGGCCGGGAGCGGGGAGAGGAGGAGGTGTAAGTGCGCACTAATTCCGAGCAGCTCTCGTTTGGGTAACGAGGAGTCTCGGGAAGCTAGTAAAAGGCTGCAGGTAAATGAAAAGGCTGCTGCAATGTCTCCTGGGGGGCCCATTGAGGGGGGCCAATAATTCAGCACAGGTGGCAGGAGCTAGGAATGGCCACCCTGGGGGGAGACACTGAGTCTTTAATTAGCGTAATTAAGCTGTTAATGGATTTTTTTTTAAATGGCCCAGGCAAAGAACTCATCACAGGGCTGGAGTCCTGGGGGAGCCGGTGGCGGGTGCCTCGGACATGGCAGAGAAGAGAGGCAGGCACCAGGAGCCAGGGGGGGGGCTCAGGTCGTCCCCCCCTCCCGGCCAGGGGCTGGCTGAGAGCCAAGAAGAAACCACCAAGCAGGGGGCAGCCAGCAGCCAGGCAGTCAAGAGCGACAGGGAGGCCCCTTGCAGGGGTATCAATGCAGCGACATGGCGTGGGGGTTGGCCCCTTCCCCCACTCTGTGTTGGCCATTGAAGAGTGAAAGGTAGCCTTCTGGCTGGGAGCTAGGAGCCAGGAGACTTGGGTTCAGTTCCCAGCTCCCTGGATGTCCTTGGTCAAGTCCCTTAACCTCTGTTCTCCCATGTACAGTGGGGCTAATCATCCTTCCTTTCAGCCCAGTCCAGCTGTGGATTGGAGGAGAGATGGAAGGAAAACAGAAAGAAGGGGGAAAAGAATCCACGTCAGTGCCATTGTCTTCCACGCGTCTGTGCATGTCCCGGTGTGACTGAGGCCGGCTGTTTGGGCTGGACTGCGCAGTTGGAGATGCTGTGTGCACACAAGGCGCCCACAAAAGACACACGTTTGCCTGGGAAATACCCATAATACACTGCACGTGTCCACTGTGTGTAGCCACACAGAGACTATACCCACAGGTAGGGAGTGCACAAAACGCATACGCGGCATGCACAAGCGTGCACAGACTAAAATTGATCCAGGAGATAAGTGTACCAAATACCCACCAGGTGAGTGTGCATTGAACACACCCACACATTCCCCCAGTGTGCACATGGTACTTTCAGGCTGCACCCACACAATGCACAAGTGCCCCCTCCAAATGTCTGAAGGGGCACAAACGCATCAGAGGACACCCACCCCTTGCGCACTCGCAGAACACATGTATGTGTAAGGTTATGTCTAGACTACATGCCTCTGCCGGCAGAGGCATGTAAATTAGACTACCCGACATAGTCAATGAAGCGGGGATTTAAATATCACATCTCTCCTCCAGTCCACAGCTGGACTGGGCTGAAAGGAAGGATAATTAGCCCCACTGTACATGGGAGAACAGAGGTTAAGGGACTTGACCAAGGACATCCAGGGAGCTGGGAACTGAACCCAAGTCTCCTTGCTCCTAGCTCCCAGCCATAAGGCTACCTTTTACTCTTCAGTGGCCAACACAGAGTGGGGGCAGGGCCCAACCCCCTGCTTCATTCAAATAAAAATGGCTGCCGCGCTGGGCCGGCTCAGCTGATTGTCGGCACAATGCGGCAATCAAGACGCGGATCAGTCGGCAAGGAAAGCCTTTGCCGACCGAGCCTTTGGCGACCGATCCTGTAAACCTCATTTCACAAGGCATAAGGGATCGGTCGGCAAAGGCTTTCCTCATCGACCGATCTGCGTCTTGACTGCCCCGTTGTGCTGATGATCAGCTGAGCTGGCACAGTGCGGCGGCCATTTTAATTTTAATTAGGCAGGGGATATTTAAATCCCCGCTTCATTGACTATGTCGGGTAGTCTTTTCCATGCCTCTGCCGGCAGAAGCATGTAGTCTAGACATACCCTATGTTACCACAGGACCCACAAAACACAGGCAAAGACAAAGCGCAAGGCCAGATGGCTGATCTGTTACACCGGTGTCAATCTGGAGTGACTCTCAGCCCTTTCCACGTAGCATTGACCAAAGCGTGCACTGTAGCCGGTGCTTTTTTTGTTTAAAAAAAAAAAAGCGTCGGTATTCCAGGGAAAAGTTGTTGAGCTGTGACTGGAGGTGCCGATACTGCATCTGGATGTGCCAGTACTGAGAGCCGGGCAGTACCATCACAAAAAAAGCACTGGCTGTAGCCGTGCTCACATGCGGCAACAGTGCGTGGCACGCTAGTGCGCTCTAGACATCTACACTGCAGGCTTTTTGCACGAGAAGCTTTTATCGGATAGAGCTCTTCCATAAAAACTTCTTGCACAAAAGCGCGTCCACACTACAAAAGCCCAGAGCAAAAGCCATGTGCTTTTGCACAAGGGAGTGTCCACACTGCATGCACGCTCTTGAGCAAGAAAGCTCTGATGGCCATTCTAGCGCACTTGTGCTTTTTCTGATGGGCTCTTTTTGGGTACTTTCCCTCCATTGCTATTAAAGCAAATCATTAATGTCTTTTTAGCAACTCCTTAAAAAGCTGATTAAATAGTTTTTAGTGGCTCTGGCCCATGTTAGTTGCAACTCAGTTCACACAGTGGTAGCTTAAGGAGTTTTTAAGAGACTTACCATAGTGTAGGCAGAGCCTCAGTGACCAACGGCTAGGTTAGTCAAGTTTCAAACCAATGTGAGACCAGAAGCTCCGAGTGCAGGTAGGCCCCTCCCCACGTGGCCTGGTCCTAGCTCCTTCCTGGATCCCACACTCAGACCCAGGCAGTTGCCTCCCACCCCAATAAGGACAGTTCGAGAGTTTCTCCTCCACTCCAGCAGGCTCCTCTCTTGCGGAGCTAATCAGCCGGAGGAGGAACTGGCTGCCTGACAGATCACTGACAAGCAGCGAAGTATCTCAGGCTGCCATCTCAGACCCTTCTAACAAGCTCATTAATTAAAGGCTGATTTCCCTGTCAACAGAACCCCCACTGTCCCCATACACACACGTACCCCTCCGCCTCTCAGATCCCCGGCCCTTGGATTTGGAAATTAACAAAGCTGCCAGTCCTGGATTCAGAAGGCAGCCAAGTGTGGCGTCCTGTCGGGTTTTCCAAAAGCAGAATTGGGGGATGGGGGGGGGCGGTTTGAGACTGATGCGTGGTTGACTTTCAAGTCAAGGCCCCTGTTTCGAGGAGGATCTGTCCCGCAGCCCTTCATGCTTATGGCTCCACGCTTCCCTGGGCACTTTGCAGTAGCAACCCCACCCCCCTCCCGTCTCGGTGCTGGCTCTGTTTATTCACACGCCGACCTCCAGGTACCCTCCCTGGCCCCAGGCCTCCCAGCATGGCTCGGTGGGGAAGGTACCACTCCGGCTTGGGGTTTGGAGGCCTCTGAGCAAAACCTCTCCCCTCTGAATCTCTGCTCCACTCCGTGCGGTGCAGGGGGCGCTGGGCTGCAGGCAGAGATGGGGATGGGTCAGTAGGGGGCGCTCTGCCCTGTGAGTCAGTGCTGGCCCCAGTGTTCTGGTGCAATAGGGAGGTTAAATTGCGGTAATCAAATTACGGAATTTCCATCGACCACTCGATTAATTGGTAAGGGGGGGGAACCGCAGAGCTGCTGTGGGGTTGGCTCCTGGCCTGGCTGCTAACCCAGGCTCTTAATACATTTAAAAAGCAGAGGCGCAGCGGCGGGGGGTCCGGGAATCAGCTGTCCTGGCTTATGCCCAGTCCCCCCACTTCGCCTCTGCTTTTTAAATATATTAAGAGCCGCCAGGTAGGGATGTAATAGTGCAGTTGATGTAACCGATAAGCAAACGCTTATAGGTTAATGCTATAGACTACACACATCCCCCCTCCCTTGCCAGGAAACTTTTTTGCAGGCTGGCCAGCAGCCAGGCTCAGTCCTGGCTCGGGCCGGGGCCGGGACCTACCCCTGCTGCGGCTCTGCATGTAAAGTGTAGTAGGAGGCAGGCAGGCAGCCCGGCTCAGTTCCAACTTGCGCCAAGTCCAGGAGCTCAGACTCTGCCCCGCTGGACAGGGGCTGCCGCCACCCTGCACTGCTGCTTCTGTATCAGAGGCAGCAGCGTGGGGCGACAGGCAGCCGGTCCACGAGGGGAGCTGGTTTTTAAACTGGCTTCCCTCACGGACCAGCTCCCGCCTGGCACCCCGTGCTGCTGCCTCTGGTGCACCCCTGCGCAGTGGCAGGGGGTTCCTGGGGATTGGGGCCGGAGCTCACTGGCTGCCGGCCCCGCCCTTGGGGACTACAGACTAGTCGAGTCACAGATACGAATTCATGTGGTTAATCGACTATTCCCACCTACAACGGGGGAGGCCGAACTTTCCTTTCTCGGGCCCTGATCTTGGTTAAGGGCTGTTGTAGCAGCCTAACCCCCCTCCCACCAGCAGCAATGTCTGGGGCGAGGGGAGAGGAGATGCTGTGGGAGGGCTGTTCCCGATCCCAGGGCAGGGAGGGCTCAGAGCGGGGCGGGCGCTTCGCCCACAGAGCCTGTGGCGCTACATGCCCACGGAGAGCTGGCAGGAGAGTGTCTTGTAATCCCGCCTGGGTGCTTGGTGCAACGAGGTTACTGGGGGTCAGCTCAGCTCCATCCAGATCCCCTGGGGCTGGCCTAGGGCCAGTGCCCCATTGCTGAAAAGCTGCTTCAACAGGACCCAGAACCATCCTGCCCCATGCACGTATAGAAGTGCCCTGCCAGGGCACGTGAAACTCTAGGCCTTCAGAGATGGCCAGGCCATGGTGAGCGGAGCGCACTTGCCCCGGCCAAGGAACATCATAAGAACATAAGAACGGCCGTACTGGGTCAGACCAAAGGTCCTTCTAGCCCAGTATCCTGTCTGCCGACAGTGGCCAGCACCAGGTGCCCCAGAGGGGGGGGACCGAAGACAATGATCAAGCGATTTGTCTCCTGCCTCCTTCTCCAGCCTCTGACAAACAGAGGCCAAGGACACCATTTTATCCCCTGGCTAATAGCCTTTTATGGACCTAACCTCCATGAAATTATCTAGCTTCTCTTTAAACTCTATTATAGTCCTAGCCTTCACAGCCTCCTCTGGCAAGGAGTTCCACAGGTTGACTACACGCTGTGTGAAGAAGAACTTTCTTTTATTAGTTTTAAACCTGCTACCCATGCACGTAACCCCTGGGAAAGGCAGGTTTGAGCAGGTGTCTCTTGGGGATACAGGCACCTCTCTCCATTGCAGTATTCATGTTGGTAGAACCTCCCATTGTAATGTCCATTTCATGCCCGTAACGTGGAACGTGACCAGGCTGTGCTGTGCTGTGCATGTGTGGGTGTGTGGGTGCACACGTGTGAGTACGAAGGATGGTGCTACCTGTCAGGTGCTGAAGGGGGGCGATCAGACGTGAGAGGGAAAAGCGGGGCGGAGAAGGAGTGAGTCACGGCCGGTAGGTTGTGTCATGTTGCGGAGGGCGCAGGACTGTGTGGAAGATGCGGGGAGTTTTGTATGTGAAGTGTTCTATGAGGTGTGAAGGGTGTTTGTGCCAATTTGAATTGACTGTGTGTGTTGTGTGAGGCTAAACAAGGCCTGGGTATTGTGCTAGGGGAGGCATTAAGTTACGTGGGAGTGTTGTGTGTTGTTTGGACGCAGCATGTTTGTGCCACGTGGAGCGTGGGGGTTGTGTTCTGGCTTTGTGAGTGGATCGAGCGGGGATGTGAAAGTGTGACCGTGTACACGGCTCCCGGTTCCTGGGAGCTGGCTGCCGCCCCGCGTGTAACCGTAGAACCACTGACATTTTCAGTGCTTACACGGTTACTTAATTCCATGCGCTGTAACATTCCCTAGTACTGAGTGGGGCGTTTGCAGGGAGCGTGGGCGTGCTGTGGGAGCTGAGTGCGTATTGAGCCAGCGTTGTGAGTGTTGGACTGGGGTGTATTTTGGAGAGGATTGTGCGGTTGTATATGTTAGGCTAGGGTGGGATTGTGGGGGGTTGTGTGTATGCTGGGCTGAGAATGGGGAGGTTGTGTGGACTCGGCTGGGGTGTTGCAGTGAACTGACGTGGGTTGGGGGGGTTGTGTTGGCCTGAGGAAGGGCTTGTGTTCCCTAGAAGGCTGTTTGCTGGGCGAGGCCCCTCTCTGGGTGTGTAGGACCCCCATCTTCCCAGTGCGGGTGCTGGCCGGAGGCGGGACCGGCTGTGCCCGATCCCAGCCCCGCACCCAGGGAGATAGATTGGTGAGAAGGCAGGTCACAGGTGCCAGGGCCAACGCTCCCTTCATCTCCTCAGCTCCTTTCTTCTCCGGGTGCTTCAAAATCCACCCGCTCCCCTCTCTCCCGGAGCTCAGCTGCTAATGAGCTGCGCAGCCCGTTGGCCAAGCCGCTCTCAAAGGGCGGCGCAGGGAGAGGAGGCTGGAGGTAGAGAGGGTTCGTGGCCCCCCCTGTCCCCAGTTTGGGGGGGTTGCATGTGTGACTGAGCAGGAGTGCACATGCTGTGTGCACCTGTGTGTGGGTGCATGGGAAGGTGTGAGTTTGTGCGTGTCACTAGACCCACGAGTGCGAGGAGTGTGAGGCAGCACGCAGCTGTGTGCCGGCAAGTGTGAAATCGGCATAATTGTCGGCGCACGTGGCTGTGTGTGCGTCGGTGACCGGGTGGGCAGTTGTGCAAATGTGCGAGAGAAGAAGGGCGTGTCCATTTCAGTGTGGGCGTTGGTGGACGAGGGTGCGACAATGTGCCAGTGTGCGCAGGCGAGAGTGTGAATACATTGCTAGTGAGTGTGCACCTTGGCGCAGGCGTGCCTGTGAGTGTGAGTGCGTGGGTGCGAAGCTGCTTGCACTCCCAGCTGTCCAGTGCACGGCTCCAGGGCTTCCCGACACACCTGTGGCTCCCCACCTAAGGCCGCCGGGACCTGCACTCCTCTTACAGGTAGGAGCAGCTTTGAAACAGGCAGCAGGGGAGCCTGTCCCCGAGGTCCTGGGGGCTCACGTGCTCAGCTCTGCTTTTGTGCCTGGTGCTGCCCTGCCCCCAATGCATCCCCCACTAGGGAGCCCCTGTGCTCACACCCCCTCCCCCCCGCGCAGGGCAGAGCCAGACCCCAGGTGATGCAAGCAGAGGCCTGGGAGCCAGGAGATCCTGAGCCCTGAAATTTCCCTGCGCTAGAGGAGAATTCCGCCTCTGCAGCTGCTTTGGGTCTTGGCCTCACTGGAGTGTTCCCAGATCCGGATTTGCTATTGGAGCATCACGTGAAAGCAGGGCTGAGTGGGCCAGGCCTCAGGGCTCTGGCAGGGAGTTACTTGGATTTCTTGGGGCAGCTCTTGGATTTCTACAGATGCCATCGGAGCATCTTGCACTTAAAAAGCGACACGTTTTTGCTCATTCTTCTATCACCCGTCTCGTCAGAATAACCCCTTGGCAACCAGACGCGAAGCGCCGTCTCTTCCCCTGTTCTCCGTTGTTTCTTCTTCCACCCGGCGGGTTCATTATGGTAGGGTTGCTCCTCAACTCTGGGCCCTGCGTCCTGGTTTCTTATGATCGAGACGCTCAAGGAAAGCGGCAGCCAGTTGCTTGGAAGAGATCTCCGTTCCGAGTCCTGCTTTGCCATTGTCAGGCTGCGCAGAGCAGATGGGCTCTGCTTTGTTACTGCCGAATTGCTTACGAGGGCCAGGCACCTGTCAGTTATCTCTGATCTAAAAACGTAGCCATATATTTTAAAAAAAGAGCAACGGAAGCTGTTTCTTTGAAGGGGAAAAAAACGCCTCCTGAAATCGCTCGGAATTTGCAAGCAGACCGAAGATGAAAATAAGGCAGGTCGGCCCCAATGCCAGGCAATCTCCTTTTAAGTTGTTACTTAAACTTTGCGATGGGGTTGTGATAACGAAGGAGGCAATAATTGACATGCAAATGAAGCGCTGGATTTTTTATGTCTCTGAGAGCCGCCTTGTGAATTCTGCCGGGGTTCCAGTCACATGGTGGTAATGTTTAAAGTCAACCCTGGACGCGTCGGAGAATAATTGTTACTTTTACGGCCCTGGGTACATCAAAATGGTCTTTAAAAATATACCGCGCTGGGTCACCCTCCATCGGATGGCTCATCATTCCCCCTCTGTAAAACATTAAAGAGGAGCTGCAGTCGGAAACGGAGGCCTAACAGCCCGAGGCGGGCGGGGGGAAATGAATCGGAGGCTCTCCAGTGCTTATGGGCTCAGATGGCCTCTGTGGCTAGTATCTGAGCTCATTACAATCTTTAATGTATTCGTCACGTGACATCACGCAGTTTTATCCCCATGTCACACCAGGGAAACTGAGGCGCGGTGGGGGACTGTCTACACTTGAGGCCAGGCCCTAGTGCCTTTGCTGTTTCCACTCCGCATCGTAGTTGAGTAGGGGGACGGGTCAGAGCTCACAACACCCTCTCTGACCCGTACCCATTCCCAGAGGAACATGCCAGCTCTGAATCACTGCCAAGAGTGACGAAGGGAATTTATCTTTTGTTAGCCTGCGGAACTCATTGCCACTAGATCCCATTCCAGCCATAAGCTTAGCAGGATTCCAACCAGAGGCTGCACATTTCTATCGGTGGCGAGAACATCCAGAGTTTTGGGATTAAAGGCTAAAAAATGAGTTTTTGAAAGGATCTAAACCTCATATGCCAACCTCTAACGAATGGGACAAGGAGAATTTTATCCCAGAACTGCCTCCCACGGGGTTCTTGCACCTTCCCTGAAACAGTGGGCACTGGTATAGGAATAGAAGGTCCCTGGGTCTGACCCGGCTCCTATGAGCACAGCGTGTAGGCAGCCATCCTGCCAGGCTCATGTGATACCATGTGTCTCCATATAGCGATTGTCCCAAACGACACCCTTCTAAGTGACAGAGGCAAGGGATCAGGAAACCTAAATGCTCTGTCCGCTGCATTATCTCATTCATCATAATGAGTCCTTCTGCCCCTCCCTTCCTGGGTGATTCCTCGCGCCAGGGGCGCCAGGGTTAGGGGCCCCGTGTGCCGCTGGTTAGGAAGTGAGGGGCCAGGTCTGGCTTTGCTTAGCGCGTCCCAGCTGGGAATCTGCCCAGCGCCTCTGAGGCTGTCTCGCGAGGGGGATGAAATATCGACTCGGCGTTTGGTTGGCTGCTTGCCCGGAGGCCGATATTAGAGACCCCTTGGTGAGACAAGGCAGCTTTTAATTTCTAATTACGCGGGTTCCTCCTCGCTGCCTGTCATGGGCTCCCATATTATTTACGCCCCCTTGGGGCTGGGGCGGAGGCCTTGGGGCAGGGCCTTGTACAGTCGGAAAGACAAGGAAGGGGGCAGGTGTAAAGGAGGTGGAGAGGAGGTGCGAGGGGGACGGGGTGCAGATCCGTGTGGGGGAGCGAGCTGGCGCTGGGCAGGACCGAAATCAGTTTGCGGTGCTGGAGGTCGCAGAGAGAGATGCTCACCTCTCGGTGTTGCCCAGCGCTGGGATACCGCAGCAGTCCTGGGCTTCACTTGTGTCTCCTGGCTGGACACTGTCCTGGCCGGCGATACGGCAAAGGGGACGTGCCCATCGTGTCTTCTAGCTAGAGGTTCCTGCTGGTGGAGGATCCCAGCCCGGGTGCTGGGAAGCAGCGAAGTCTCCGCTACAGGGTCTGTGTTAGGGAGTGTTGTCTGGGCTCTGCCCAGCTAGGTCTGCCCCCTATGTCGAGGCAGCCTGTGTCTAAGCAAATGCTTCCTGCTGTGCTAGAGAAGCCCCAAAGACCGAGCGGGGAGGGGGGGCATCCATCCAGCCCTAAAATTCCTCTGCCCGCTGCCCCACTGCAGTCTGAGCTGCAAGAACTTTCTAAGGGTCCCCTGCCACACACACACCCGTTCCTGCTTCTCCGTACGCCCCCCAGGGAAGAGCCGTGGGGTGTCACAGCCTGGCACTTCAGGTGATCTTGTGCAATTTCACCCTTGAGGGCTTCTTCTGCCTAGGACACAGGGGGGAGAAAGCGTTTTGATTTAAGCAGAGTCTCAGCTCACTGGTTACATGAAATTGACTAATCAATTAAATTGTTGCTCACTTGTTAATTACAGCAACTGGACAGCAGCCAAGAGCCCCGGGGCTCAGTTCCTTCTGCTTTCCCCTTCCCCCTCCCCCTTGCGCCCTGAGTTCTGGACACCCCTGGACTTGCCTGGTGACATCGCTTCTGCTGCCAGAGAAATGCAGCTCGTTGGCAGTAGGGCTTCGGCATGGGGGATGGGAGGGGCAGGGAGCCTTTCTCCCCCAGGAGGTTCAGCTCCGGCAGTGGGGAATGAAGTGGCGGGGAGGAGGGGGTGTTAAGCCGCCTGTTTCAGGCTCCAGTGTATTTCGATTGATTTTCCAACACACGGTACATCCCGGCCTGATTGCATTTCAGACAAGAAACAAGCGCAAAGCAGCTGAGCACCGAGCTATCTTTGGGATACAATGAGAAACTATCGCTCCCGCTGATCCGAAAGGCAGCAGGACTAGGGCAAGAGGAAGGAAGGATGCTCCAGCAGTTTGCCCGCTAGCCTTGGGTTTGGAGACCCAGCATCAGATCCCTCCTCTGCCACAGACCCTCTGTGATCTTGGGCAGGTCACTTAGCCTCGCTGCACTTCTGTTCCTCCTTCTGTAGCAAGGGGCCAGGCGTGTGGTAAGGATAAAAGCATTAAAGAGCCACCGCACCTCGTCAATCTGTGGAACTCCTTGCCTGAGGAGGTTGTGAAGGCTAGGACTATAATACAGTTTAAAAGAGAACTAGATAAATTCATGGAGGTTAAGTCCATTAATGGCTATTAGCCAGGATGGGTAAGGAATGGTGTCCCTACTTTCTGTTTGTCAGAGGGTGGAGATGGATGGCAGGAGAGAGATCGCTTGATTCCCTCCCTCTGGAGCACCTGGCATTGGCCGCTGTCGGCAGACAGGGCATTGGGCTGGATGGACCTTTGGTCTGACCCAGTATGGCCGTTCTGATGAGCTCAGAAACTGCTGTAGTGGGGCCGGATCCGGAAAACAAAACCGGACTGGGCAGGGGGGCTCTTTAGGAGCTTCCCAGTGCAGACACTCCGCTGAAAATTTGTCCGAAGGGATGAGGAACGTTGGAGGGTTTCCATTGAGTCATCAAGGAAAAGTTAATCAATAGACCCTTAGAACCGTAGGGTCTGGAAGGGCCCTGTCTAGTCCAGCCCCCTATGCTGGGGCCAGATCAAGGAGCCCTGAAGCATCCCGGACAGGGGGTCTTTCCCAAGATTGGAGATGCCCAGGTTTTTTAACCTTTCCCCTTTAGCCTGCAAAGTTGTGGGATACGTCTGTGTGAGCTGCTGTCTTCCTGCTGGCTACGGAAGACATATAAAGTGACAGGCACAATGTTGCAACCAGTAGTGTAGTCTGCACCTGTATTTAATCCCCTGGAGAGAGAGAGAAAAGAGCAGCCGGTTGGGGAATCTGCTTTTCTCTTTGCCCTCTTGGGGCCCCCCGCCTGGGGTTAAGTAAAAGACGTGGTTCAGGAAATCCAAGCAGATGTTTCTTCAGGGCATCTCTGTCCCCCTTCCTGCCTCCTTTCCTCAGGACCAGGGTCTCCACAGAACCCAGCTCCCCAGCTCTTGACAGCGACACTCCGTTGTGACAGGTTTTGTGCTGGGCTCTGTGGGCGCAGGCCCCCAGGGCGCTGACGGGAGGTCGTCTTACCACTGATCAGATACTTATTTGGGGGGCGTGACGCGGAAAGCCGCCCGAGGGCCCCCCCAAAGGCTAATGGCTCCTGCCCGTTTGAACGGAGGCACGGGAGTTTTGCCTGCAGTGGGCACGAAGCCGGAGCTCGGAACCAGCTGGCAAGCGATCTGGAACTCCGGGATGGTGCTGGAATGAACTTGGCGGGGTTGGGGGGTTGGAAGCCAGTCTGGCTGAGCACCCTCATGGGCCATGCTTGCTCTGTGGGGCAGGACCAGTTCCAGGGATGGGCCCCTATCAGATGGATGGGAAGTGGGGGCTTCATTCTTGTTTCTTTTTTCTTCTGCCTCTCTCTCTCTTTATCCCTCCTATTTTCTCTCCTTCTTTCACTCTTGATAAGTATCTGCATTGACCCTCTCCGCCAGCTTTTCCGTCTGCCTGGCGTCCGTTACTGAGCATGGTGGGGGCTGCGGAGAAAGCAATGAGCAGTTCCAAGGGGCTGGGGGATCGGTGTTATAAGTATCTGTTGACCCTCTCCGCCAGCTTTTCCGTCTGCCTGGCGTCCGTTACTGAGCATGGTGGGGGCTGCGGAGAAAGCAATGAGCAGTTCCAAGGGGCTGGGGGATCGGTGTTAGAGCTATAGCGGGGGGGGGGGGGTTTTTCCGCGGACCTGGGGGGCTTCATGAAATGTGGCTCCTCGGCGGTGGTGTGAGCGCGGTGGGACCCCGCAGTCCTGCTGCACCACGCTGGCGAGGGATGGGTTGTGTCCGTGCTGTTGTGTTCATGTTGTGGTCCCATGTGC